GCCTGAATGTCTCCAGTGATCTGAAGGCCATGTCTGGATCTCCCAACCTCTTCCTCCAAGTCAGTCTTGCAGAGTGCCTTCACCCCACTCAGGAGGGCTTTACTGCACAGATTCTTATCATTGCTGACGACAGAATAGAAGCATGTTTTTAATCAGGGGGCAGTGATTAAGCAATAAGACGATTTATTTTCACAGACATCCACACTCATTATCAATTCACTGTGCGACACTGAAGCGCTGTCTGCACGCTAATTTGATTTAGCAAAACAACCGATGACTACAGCAGGAAACAGCGCAGTGAAATAGGTCAAAATGATGAAAACAAAACAAAATAGCTGCGTCATAAAATCGGAGCCAATAAGTTGCTAAACTAAACTCACATTCCCGTGCTCAGCGCATCTATTCTTTGCCAATAGCTGTCTGGCCCTCGCTTTCTTTCTCTCATCCCAACTGGAACTATCTGGCTGGACCCACTCACAGTCACATGCATGTGCATTATCAGCAGAGGACACACTCTGCAGCAGCAGCAGTTTACTGTAGGGGGGGAGGAGGGATAACTCACGTGCATAAGGTGAGAGCACACTCTGGGAACAGCCTCTGGTACTGCAGGCAGCACTGCAGCACTCTGTCATCGTTATTCTCAGCAGTCAGACCGTCTGCACACAAGGGGAGACAGACAGGAACATGACATCAAAAAACAAAAGAACACAGCGTGTCTTTCCGCTGTTAAAGACCAGGAAGACTCAACAATGAAAACACAAGATGGAGATTTCATGCCTGTTTTAAAAGAGATATTGAAGGCGTAGAGGCTCCAAAATAAACCCAAAATATTTCTTCCTCCATCCCCATCTCTCGTTTAAAATGTAACAAAATATCGACACAGCAATGAATGCATGGATACAATGTGCCCTTGAGATATTTACAATGTATATTATGGTGACTAATTTCTTGAGAAAGAGTTCAGTGTTAGTGCCACCTAGTGTCTGTGCAGAGGAGTCAAGCAATGACAAAATACAGTCCCGACCAAAAGTTTCAGACCACTTGAAAAATGGCAAAAAAATCATATTTTGCATGGTTGGATGTTAACAAGGTTCCAAGTGGAGTTTCATCATGCAACAAGAAGAAATTAGGGCATGTGGAAAACATCTCAGGTGGGATCTGCTTGTCATGCTGGTAATGTTGGTTCCTTTGTAATGGATAGAAGGTTTTCATGTGCTCGCCGTTGTTGAGGGTGACGGTGACATTTATTTATTTATCAAGTCAACAATTCACCCAACAGCCTATCAGGCAGCTCTCACATGGGCTAATGGATGTGTAATAGAGACAAAGTTCCCACTCACTGCTGCTCTCTGCGGCCTGCTGCATAGATTGGCCCCACAGGCGAGGTTCCCGGCTCTTCAAACACTTGTAAATGTAAGAGATTGCCGGAGTCGCCAGGTGGGCCACGGAGCCTGACAGGCCTCTTCCCATTTTTAGGGAGTCCATCTCCTGAAGCACCACCCAGGGGATGACGATAATGGGGAAGCCCAGGCCTAACAGAACATGAAGTAAACACAGAGCAAGCAGACAGTACTGATTAGTTTATCCATAAAAATACAATCTGACAATGTGGAAGTGATCATAACGGTTTTTTAAATTAAAAATTTATCTTCAGTTCTCTTGTAACTGTATTGATTTTCAAGATAAAAGGCTAAATACACTGCTTGAAGATAACTTAAGCATTTAACTCATGACTGAAAAAACCTTAACATCATGAAATGTTATAAATCATTCTACAAAACACCGTTAATATTAGTTACTGCTTTAATAGCAAATTATAGCGTGAAACACCTCCGAGGCCGTGACAGCGGATCTTTTTCACATAATCGAGGTGACTGAGGAGAATGTTTGTGTCGAGAACAAGGATTAGGTCCTGCTGAGACGACTTTTTGCCTGTGAAGAAAAAAAACATTGGCTTGAATTCAGTAATTTCTTGGTTATTTTTAAATTATCAAAACAATAAATAAAATAGCACAAAAAATAATATTACTTTCCACATAATTGTTTTGTGGAAACTTGATTTCAGAAACTACTTGAGACTAACTTGAGCTGAGCATCTCAGTTGTCTTATCAGATATCCATGTTGTTAGATTAATAACTAAATCCATAAGTCAGATGTTAAAATATATAAATTAGATGTTTATATGGTAATGTTAATGTGTCACACAAGGATTAATTAAAAAAAGTCAAACCATGGATCAAGTTACGAGTGGGTTAGATGTGTTAAATTGCTTCTGCCACAAGTTGAAAGTTTGGGT